TTAACTTAAAGGTGTGCTCATGGTGCAATCATTTGGAGGTCCTAGTGCACAAGGTCTAACCATTGGGTGTGACATTTGAGCTACCTATATAAGAATTTTGGCTAGTTTGAGTATAAATAGAAGGTAGAGGTTGATTAGTTTAGAGGAAGCTAGAGATTAGAGAAAGAAATACACATTTTGGGAAAGTTCTTCCACTCATCTAGGGTTTCTACCAAGAACAAAAGAGGAGGAGGATGATTTCTACCATGGAGATAGCCCTTGAGGATTTGATGACAACATCAATAAGTGGCTAAACCATTCTCTTGGGGCTAGAGATAGCCCTAAGTATGCCTCCTAGACTTTGATGTTTGTAATTAATGGAGATTTGTGTTGTAATTATTGTCTTGGCATCTTATATATATAAATCTTGATTTTACAAAGATTTGTGTAGCTTAATACTTCCAATTGATCATTTAGTTCTATCCATATGTCTATATATGCTAGAATGAATGTTTATGTGTTTATTTCTAGATTTTGTGACATTGATGCATGTTTGTGTGTGTTGATATTATGAATCTAGTGATAATCAAGACATGGTGCTTAAATAGATTACTCTTGTGGTTTATTTGATGGTTCATACCTATTTCTTGATGGATTGTGCCACCTCCTTAGTTTAATTAGTTTAATTTTCATGTCATTAGCTTAGTTGTAGTGTAGTTGCCTTACTTTCTTAGACAGGTGGACAATCTATGCTTGTTATTTGATATTCCATGCTTATGAATGCAAGTAGTATATTTTTCTAATTTAATGAGTGTACATTAATTGTGAACTTATGGAAGGATTAATGGCTTGATTTGATATGTTGTGCTATTCACTACATTGACTTGACAATGTATGATTACTTGGCCATCCATGCTTGATATTCAATTAATGGCACACATTTTCATTTGCAACATATAATCCCCTTAATCCATCAAATATTGAATGTCTAGGAAGGTTATGCTTAGTGGTGAACTCTATGTCCTAAGACTCCTCTCTCATATTCTCTACACCTCATATTGCTTTAGTTATTTTACATTGCATTTGTTTAGTTTAAATCATAGTATAATTCAACAAGTAATTATCTTTTGATCATTCGACCTACTAATCCAACATTGATTTCCAATAAAAAATAAGCTTCATTTCCCTTAGGACGATCCCTACTTTCTCTAGCTACATTAATAGTTAGTAGTGGGAGTGGCATTCTATAAATTCAAACTTGACCACATTTTATTTCACCACATTTTTGCAACTAGGTACAAGACACACCACTACACAGATTTCATGATCCACTTATCCTAACTCTTGTTGGAGAGGCCAGATTAACACTTTTTCTAAGGCCCAATTTGGTTGGAGGGTATTAGAAGTGTTTGGCTCACAAAAATTGGGGTCCCTACTTCCAGAAGTGCAGAAGGGTTGTTGCGGGTGTGCCAGGAACTACTTTCATTCCAAAGGGGAGCTCCAAACAATATTCTAATGGAAAGTTGTCGGAATCAGGCAATTGAAAGGAAGCTTGGAATGACCACTTCCATAGGTTCTTTCTACCTTAAAAAATTTTAGGACTATTCTAGTGCTAGTGGAAAGAAGAACGAAATTGAAAGTACATGACTTGCAATTAAAAGAGCTATGAACAACTTACTGGAAAGTAGGAAAAGAAAGTGCTGAACTTGTATTAGACATAATTAAAATACATTACTGGAATGTAAAAGTACATGAAATGAAATTGATAAGTGAAGATGTTGTATTGTTGTGTGTGTTGAACATGATTTGCATTCTAGGCTTAAGTGCTCTGTTAATAGAGCTCTTTTATGCAACAGTTGAAGGTGGCTGTTCAATTTCCACTTGGCTTGTCCTTGGGCTGCCAAGTGTCCCCCATCTTCGGTAGTTACCCCTTGTTTTGCATCCACCTTCTTCCATCTTCTTACTCTTCTTGAGTTCTTCTGACACATTACTTCAACGATGCCCCTTGAAATCTCCATAATTTTGAGTAGTGGGCAATTTTGGTTCTAGTTGAAGTTGAACATTCCACCTGACCTCTCCATAAGATTCTACATGTCCCACGTTTTGCTTGTTCTTCCTTAACGTGCATGGACTCTTCTTCTTTTATTTTAGACACATGATTCCAAAATTTTAGCCATGTTGTCCATAATCCCAACCACTTCTATCAATTAATGGTAGTAGTTGCATAGATATCTATTAATCTTCATTTGATATGTTAACATACGGCCAAGTGTCCCACGTCTATAAGGATTCCTTCTTTACACAGAGTCCTTCTCCCCATATAATTCTAGATTGTATATGTATCATGCATGTATGTGTCTGTCATTGTTCATGCATGCTTTCCTTAACTTTAGTAATTTCTCTTTAGACTTTCCTTTTGGTACGATTACATGGCATCACGTACTCCATGATTGAGCAATATTCTTTTCTGTATGTATAAATTTGGTATATATATATACATATATCTCTACACATATATATATAATTATACACTTCCCATTTTTCGGATGATCATCCACCTTCCTAACTTTAGAAGTTTGCTTTGATTTGATTATACTAGTAATAATAAATGGGTGATAAAGGGTAAAAAGGGAAAGTAAATCACAAATGTATGTAACAGGAACCGGTCGACATGCGTACATTACACATCGACTAGTTTGGCACATTCAGTCTACATGTGAGTAATTCATGTCGACTAGTTTGGCACATTCAGTCAACTTGTAAGTAATTCACATCGACTGGTTTGGGTCATCCACAGTGAAATTGTTCACTGCCAAAAATTTTAAGATACTGACCGACGTGTGGGAAGCTACACATCGACCGGTTCTCCCCAGACATGTATTTATTGGTTTCTTTTTTTCTTTTTCTTTTTTCACCACTAATATACCATTAAGATGCCACTGAAACTGCCACTCAAAACACCATATATATATATATATATATATATATATATATATATATTTATTTATTTATTTATAGCCCAAACAAAACAACATTAACATTTACGATCGTGGGTTACATACCAAAAATAGAATTATTACATTTACCATTCCCAACATACTACAAATGTAAAAGTATGCACGAAGAATATTATTACAATGTTAATACAATATTTTTCAAAAATTACAATTTCATAACCATGTTTTTACCAAATCAAATGTAAATACAAAATGGGTCCAAAGAAAAAAACAAAATAAAAAAATAAAAGGAATACTAATCCATCTCTAGGCTCGCAAAATCACATCGTCAACCATTAACTACACATGTGAGGTTTCGTCATCAACCATGTCTTCGTTATAACCTGAAAAATATTAAAGGAAGGGGTAAGCACGAAGGCCCAGTAGAAGTCACCTAAGGCATCAACTTTGGACTCCCTTGAGCCGCACAACACACATTAGGGATGAAAGAGAACCAGGATCATACATTGGGGATTTCATAACATTTAATTTACAAGACAAACCCAACAATACCATTTTGGCATTTCAATAGGAGTATGTATAAAATGCAATGCAATGCCCTATGATTCCCGACCATGGTCTCAACCGACCCCAAACTTGGCCCTTACCAGCTCTAAACTTGGTCTCTACTGACCCAAACTCATATTTAAAGAAAAACGCTAACAAAATTTACCGAGGCATGTGATACCCTCAATTCCAAAACACGGGTTAATCAGGTTTACGCACAACACCAAGGGATAATTAAACAATTAAGGGCCTGTTTGGTATGCGTTGTGTTCCCGGGCGTTTTGTTTTAGCCTAGAACAGAACAAATGTTTTGTAATGGAGTGTTCTGAGATGAGAACAAAACATGTTTGGCGATAAAAATTTGTAGTGAGAATTTTGGAATAGAAACATGGTAGAACATGTTTGGCAAGGTATTTCGTTTCAAGAAATATGAGAACAAAACATGTTTGGTAGAGTGAAAGTGTAACCAAAATCACTGAAACAAAAACATGAAATATGTTTGGTAAAGAGTGTTTTTAAATAATGTTTTCATCAATACATTATTTATAACTTTATTAAATATAAAGTAAAATTTTATTATTGTATAATTTTATTATACAATTGATATAACTTTTAATACTTTTGTTTTTATAGTTTATTAAGTTTTAGTTTACAATATTTTTTTAACTAATCTATAAAAACCAATAAAATATATTATAAATTGTAAAACCTATGAATGCTAGATATTGTTTTGATAATTGTAGAAGACATTTTTTCAATATCGAACTGAAATAAACTTTCAACATATTACACATTACATGAGTTTGAAGATATTACAGACATGAATTTTATATATATTACATCACTTGTCAACACTTGTCAACAGGCACAATAAAAATATCTAAGTAAAATTGAACTAATATATTATAACATTTATCAACAGCCACAATAACCAATAATAACAACATAAGCAATAACATAAATAATATAGTTATAGTAAGACAACAACAGCCACCATAGATAATGTAGTTTTGCCTATTTTGTTGAGCTTGCATAACAACAACTACATCCTCTAACTCTTGATCCACATGACCACCACTTGCAGACGTTAGTGCATATCATCCAACCATATAAATGAACGAGCATGTGACTAAAACATCAAAGACTTGTATATTATTATAATGCCCCTGTACCAATAACATGTACGTATAAAAAATTATTAATGCAAAGGATTGTATACCCCCCAAGCTAGACATCTATAAAATGAACGTCCATAATTCTTTGAAGTTCCAGCCGTATAAAGATTCATTCGACCCTTTCCACGTGCACAAGATGGCCCGTCACCCTGTATCTCACACATGACTACATATACAAGTGGTAAAATGTGTAATGTATACTTGGCACAAGTTAATACATTTATCCAAATCGTAAAAGAGAGTTAAAATAAAGTAGTTATTACAGTTATCCAAATCCTAAAAAAGAGTTAAAATGAAGTAGTTATTATAGTTATCCAAACATGATAAACATCTAAATGCAATTTCAAGGATGCTGAATTGTATTCCATATAATACTACAAATATGATCATGTAAAATATCCATTGGTCGCGACCGAGATTGCGGCACATTAACCTGAACATCATCATTCTTATCTTCAAATATTTCATCTATTAACGCCTCCATAGCTTCATCATCAAATATTGCATCTACTTCCACCTCCATTCTTATAAAGTTGTGAAGTGTGCAGTAGGCTAAAACAATAGCAACCTGAGTTTCAAACTTATATGGGGGCATTTGCTTCAAAATGGGGAATGAATCCCGGGGACAACGCTCAATGACATTTCGTAAAGATGAGTGCATGTGATTGTATATTTCCACTCTACCTCGGGGTTGCCTAGAAGACCTACAATACTCTTGGAAGTGGTACCATTGACCCCTGTAGGAAGCCAAGAAACCCGGTTGATTGGCATACCCAGAGTCCACCATATAATATTTTTCTACCATTTTACAAACTATAAACAATTGTACCATTATATTTAAAATAAATTAAAAAATTATAGGTAGTATGACATTTACCGTCTGGAGACTATGGGAATTGCATATCCTCATTATTAATGCTCTCGTTCAATATCTTAAAATGATTAGCAAACCCCTTCCATCCTGCTACAATGTACGTGAACATCATATCAAATGAACAAACAACCATTACATTTTGTATAGTATCCCCATGGATCTAAGTTCCAACAACTACCCCTACGCAATTCCTAAAAAAATGGTAGAACTTTTTTGACTTTCTTATATGGTTAGGAATTCGGGTTAAATTTGGGGGGGCAATAATATTTTTCTCTAAATCACACACTTTTTGTAAAACTGAATGGAAGTGTTTTGAAATTGTATATGTAGAGTGTTGAAATCTTTCTACAACCACACGATTCCTTTCATTGTGAGCTAAAGTAAGCAAAAATATGCCAACTTATTCAAAAACACTTACACCTTTAGAGTCTTTCAACCCTAATGACCTAAGCTCCCCACACAACTTAAAAAAAATAGGGGTGGACATCCTAAAGTTTTCAAAACATCTACTTCTATACCCATTCAAGATCTCCAATATATATGTTTCCCCTCTTAAAATTAAATCCCTACAAGGTTGTTTATGGTAATTTTTCATATAGTAATCCAACATACATGCCATTATAATGACAAATTCATTCTCGTCTTCATCATCATCATACAACTCAATTATTGTCCTAATATCCATCTATATAATACAAAGTGTAAGAAACGACATAAATTACAATCATCCCAGGCCAAATACTAAATAAGAAATAAAAGCAACACACCAAATAAAATCATCCCAAGCTAAATTATGACGGCCCAAGTTTTTCAACCGGGTGCGTCAATGATGAATCGAAAGTGATCCGATAACGAATCCGAATTCCAGAAGCTAAAGGTAAACAAAGATCTCTAGAGATAGGAGTCACTCCTAAGACACAAATGTGACCCTCCATGAGGTCACGGAACTTAAAGAGGACAAAAATGGAAACAAATGTCAAAAAGGACAAAATTTGCTATCCAAGGGTCAAAAAGGTCAATTCACTATTAAAAGGAGAAACTTGACTTTAAACAAGTCAAACAAGGTTAATACAACCTAATCTAATCATTTTGAAACATTCCAAGAGGTTCTGTGAACATTGGCTAAGAATCCCACAAAATGCCCCGTCCCCGTTGAAGTGAAAACTGATACTACTTCACTAAAACATATATAACTCCCACTGTGTTTGGAATTTGAGAATGGTATTGGTACCATTAGAAATTTAACTCAAAATTATTGAGTTTAGGATCAAGAATCACCCCATTTGGATTAGAAACGAAGAAGTTATGACCCATTGAAGTCGGATAATCAGTGCTGAAACTCAACAGCGGCAAGACTCGAGTTCTAGCTATTTTGGTCGACCGAAATGAAGTTTCAAATGACCGAAATGAAGATGCTGAGACCTGAAATCATGAAAAAAAGGTTTGTGTTGCTTCAGTAGACCGAAATAAAGGTTCGGTCGACCGAAATGACTCTTGAACAGTGTTTTTCGCTACTGGAATGTGATGATACTGTGCAAATACAAAACCATTTGACATCGGTCGACCGAAATGGAGTTTCAGTCAACCGAAACACCATGAAATGATGCTAAAAAAGCTACAAACAGCCTAAGGTGCTAAGGTCTAAACTCTACTTTGAATCCCTTCATGAATTGGTTCAAAATGCATGTGTAAAACTAATTTTTCATGAAGTTTGAGTGTGTGAACATGCTAACATCTTTAATATGAATACTTCAGTACAAAATAATGGCCCATGGCCCCATACACATCATTTACAAGATTTTGACCTTTCAAAACTCAAATTTTGTTTAAAAGACAATTGAAGCAAAAATGTTATACCAAAAGTGTCTAACTACCAAGGTAGACATGCTTGGCCCTTGGCCTCTTTACATACATGCTTCTAATGTCAAAAGTGATTACTTAAGCATCTTACACATCAAAGAGGTTACATAATCTTCAAAAGTACTATACATACATGGTATACAAAATTATAACTTCAAAAGTTAAACATGCTAAACACTTGCATGTTAATATACAAAAATGCTTCAACAAGCTCAAAAGCTTCTAAGGATGATGAACATCTATGAACATAGTCTCTTTACCTAAAAAACAACCCAAACCACTAGGGTGAGTAATCAAGTTACTCGTAGGAGAAGCATATGCGTATACCCTAAAGTTTCAATATCATTGCAAGATCAATATAGACGAATACAAGGGAGCATTCCACTTAACGTCTATGTTCAAGGGGTGCTAAGGGATCATCTTAAGCTAACTTGAATGATTCTTTAGCAATACAAATAATTATCAATGTACTCAACAACATCAATTCGCCAATAACAAGAATTTCAAGCTACAATTAAGCATTGGATGTCAACTTGAAATTTAATGCGAAAACAAGTAATGGAAGACTTGGACATCACGTCTCGGACTTAACCAAGATCAATACGGTTATTCTGAGCATTAACCCGCTGGGAAGACCACCCTAGTGCGCACTATCTCTATTGGGGAGAACTCATGCCTCCCGCACTAAAGCCAAACTTTAGCCATGTCACATGTAACAATGTCCTAAGAGATTCCAAAATATATATCAAGTTCAAAACTTATATATATATATAATAAGGAATACAAACCACCTTCCATGCACAAGTATTTTGAAGCCATACAAACCATGTCTTAGGGTTCCAAATCTAGAATGGCATGCCAAATGACAAATTCACATCATGATATTATGCACAATACAATATCACAAATTTATCAATTCAAGTCATGCCTCAATAACAAGCTCTATATACTAATTATCAACATCATAGCAATAAGCTCCTAAATAATTACAATTAGTAATTCACAAGGGCATAGAATTATTGTAACAACAAATATAGCAATTCATATCAATAGAAATTACATATAACATCAATAATTCTACAAGTGTCCCACATCACTAACACATGTGAAATTTCTAGAATTTAGCATGCTACTAAATTATATAATCCTCCTACACATAGTTTACACATATCATACATGCTTAAATCAATAAACCCTAAGTCAAGAGGTGAGGGTTTCCTATAATATGCAATACTATCATATCAAAAGCATGTACACAATATATATTAAACCACAAGGACTATAAAACACTTAGAATGTAAAACATACTACCACCCCTACCTCAATAGAGAATTGAATCTCTATAATCCAAGCAACCAAGCTCAAAATGGAAAACAAAGTTTAGGGTTATTGAAGAGGAGAGTGAAAGGAATCTTTTCTCTCCCAAGGTTTTTACTCTAAGGTGAAAGAAAGTGATCCAAATTGAAGGGAGAAGCTATGAACTAAGCTTTCCTCCAATGGTGGATTTGCTAGGGTTCATGAGAGATAATGAAATGAAGAAGGTAAAGTGTAAAATGGTGAGTGGAAGGGCTAGAAATCTTCCACTCACTATGTGCTCTTACACTACCTCTCTCACACACACAATGCAAGACTAAACCTTGATTCTACACTTGTCACTAATCCAATGCCTCTTCCAAGACTAAATCCCAAGCCCACACTTGTCACAAATCAAAGGCTACATGTGCACTAATTAAAGGCCAACACATGGATGAATCTCCACCCACCAAATATCAAGAAGTCATGGTGCCAAGTCTCTTCACCTAAATGACAACAAATGGCTTCATGAGAGTATGACACTTGTCACACTTTCCAAAAATTGCAAAATGGTCCTTTTTCAAAATATCTTCCAAAATAAATTGCAAAAAGGTCCCTAAAATGAAAAATAATTATTTTACATAATTACAATAAAACCCCAAAAGTTATAAATAATTGCACTAAAGTATGCGTTCATGCCCTTTACAAGAAAAGTACTAATCTAGCATGCTTTTCAAGAAAGTAAAAATACCAATGTCATGAAAATCAAATATCATGAATGCATGCAAAATCATATTCAAATCTGAGCACAACAAGTGAGGTTATACAAGGAAAAATGAAAAATGACTAAAAAACGAAAAAAAAAAATCGCCGAAAATGGAAAAGGAGGAAAAAGACCAGGTCATTACACAAATACTGATATTGGCATTATAATCATCCCATGCCAAATACTAGTGTACTTAATATTACAATCATCCAAAGTCATAACAAAACCAAATAAGAAATAAAAGCAACACACCAAATAAAGTATAGTTAATAGTACAACCATTCAAAGTCATAAGAAAAGCAACATACCAAATCAAAGATTTATGATCCAACCAACCCTTTTATCATCAAGAAGGTCATTCAGAAAGAAATCCCTCCAAATTTCATTACTACATAACATTTGGGTGACCTTAGCATATTATTTCATATCAACACCCTTTAACTGATTCAAAATATTACAACATAACTTAAAATCACCTTTTGTCTTGTCTTGTTTTGACGGAGAATTTACTTCAACCTGACATTCATCATGGAATGTTTTCATATTAGATGATGAAGCTTCTTTTATGGCCTTTTTAATTCGATCAGCTTTCATGTTAGCATTGCCTTTCATTTTATCCATGACATTGTTAATTGTAAAGGCAAAACTTTCTTTCTTTGGTTTCTTACCACGAGGTTCAGGAAAGGGACTGATCTTATAACCGTCTAACTTAGCTAAATCATCAATTTCAAATGAGCTATGTATGGCTGCATGGTGTGAGGGGGCTTGGTTGATAATAGGTGGATTAGTCGAAGGATGGACATGTGCACCTGTAGCGTGTGTGCCTCCAAGTATGGTGGTGAACTTGTAAAAAATACTTACATCCCTTCTTTCGAAACTTACTTGCATTTTTATTCACCTACAAATTATTAAAGTACTATTAATATTAAGTTAAGTTTACATTTGTAAAATCAACATACATTTATTTGAATTACTAACCTTTTTCAACCTAGGCCATTTTTCATTTTCAACT